ACACAGACTCTTGCATATCACAAAAATCATGTAGAGTTTTCTTAAATGACCGTACATTTCCTTTTCAGCTTGTCCAAGTAATGAATAAGGAACCACAGCTAAACATGAAGATTAAAAACCCACTGCAAAAATGGGCCAACTGTCCACCAACACACTGAAAACAGTAGGTTGTTTACCTGCAACTTTGAGCAGTCATCTCTGAATGTGCATGAGTTTCTTTATAATAACTTTATTAAATTTTTAAAAAACAGTAAAAACTAACAAGAATATTAAGATAAATGAGAAGAAAAAAAGAAATTAGAAAAAGGAGAATAGTAAAGATCAAGAGTGCAGAAAAAAAAGAAGAGAAAAGAAAAAAGAAAAAAAAGAATTGACTTCTAACGCTCCTTACCACAGATATAAGTAATAATATACATAAAACTCTTGCTCTAAATTTACAACATAACTTCCATTATTTCTATTATGAATTTGCATATGAGTTTTTGAGCATGTGCAGAAACTCATTTGGTATAATCTAAAGCAGACTTCCTCAATCTAGGCACCAAAATTCAGCTACCAAAACTCTTAGCAATGGCAACGCTGGCTCAGTATTTTGGGATACACAACTGAAAGGCATCCAAGTTGGGGAAAGCTATTCTACAACCAAGAAGTTTGCCATAAAAAATAGAATCTTACCCTCCCTACAACGTTTATGCTAAGGGAGCATCTCTCTTTTAACTTGGGTTCCATGGCGACCACAGAATGAGCTTTATATCAAAGTACTCAAATCTTCAGACTTAAAGGAAAGGAAAAGAAAGGGTAGTTTGTGTGAATGCCCAGATAAACATTTGAAGAATGCAAATCATGAGCAGTTTGTCATTCTTCTTCATGGCCTTTATGTATCACACAAGGGTGAACAGGAAGCCCATTTACTGTAGGAAGGAAAGTGCATCCAGTATAAATGGAATGATAATGCCTCTCTGAAAACCACATGAGATTTGGCTTATATCTAGGCAGTTGTTATACACATATGGTGAAGGTTGCAACCAGGCAGATGGACAACAGAGGCCAAAGGAAAAAAAAATGGTAAAAAAAAATGGTAGATATTGTCACAGTCCAGGTTGAGTGGCAGCTCACTGAAGGGGGAAATAACTTTACTAACCAGCAAATCTGACATACTGTATCTCAAAGACCACATATAAATCTCTAGACACAGACTGGAGAGCTATAGTATAGATCGCAAACAAATAAGCACTGTGTCTTTTGAAAGACAGTTGTGTACTAGATGTAGAACACTAAACAAACCCACATAATTAAGGAGCTAAATAAGCTTATACAACAAAAGCCTGCCTGAATAAAAATTTTTTGCCTGATCTACAAGATTCTTAAAAACAGGACAGATATGTGAGGGGGAAAAAAAATACTCTTGTGGCCTCTTTGCCTTCTATCTAAATTCCTAGAATTATAGCTTGGTACAGGGAGAGGAATTATCTTCCAGAGATCTCTACTCTGTCCCAAATGCTTTCTCACAGTGATATAAGGAAATTCAGATACGGCCCAAAACAAAGGAGAAAAAAATAGAGACATGTATGTTAACTCCAAACTTGTGGATAAGGATTAAAAGCGGGATCTAAATATTTGAAGATCATCTCCAGTGCAGCCTACAGCAATATAGATTAAATCTACGGAAAGTTTCCCCGCATTTGGAATTAAAAAGTAGTGAGGTTTCTATGGGTGCAGTCTAGCAAACATTTGTTGCATAAAAGATGTTGTAGGGCCACCTGCATTTGTACTGTCATCATCTCTGTTAAGTGAAACTACAAGCTTACTGGCAGAGTGCCTAAAACAGCATTTGGTATGTAGGGGGGGTATGCAATGAATAAGCACTACGACAAATGGCTGAACTTGTTCTTGTCAAGTAGTAATAGTAACAAGACATGCACTTTCACAAAGCAATACTATCAATATCAGGAACGTATTTAGAAAAATATTTTTTCTACCAGGTCCTATCATCTGTATTCCCATAATTTATCCCAATTAATATGCTAATATACATACAAAGATTGACCTGTCATTTTACATTTTGGAAATTGTCATAAATTGGCTAACCTTTGTTACTGAAACCCCATTTAGAAATCCATGTCTCAATTTTTGAAGCCCAAGATGGCACCAAGAGCAAGCTAAATATGCTAAATGATCAAGATCAGAAAAAACACGTACAAAACCCTAAGTTGCAGGTTCTGTTTTGCCTGCTATCCTACTTATGTGAAAATCTGCATTATATACAGATACTTTTGTATTTGTATATAATGCAAATTATACAATTTATATAATTTTACAATTGTATACAAATACAAATACTTTACTTTTATATAATTCAGCCTCATGTTCTGCTCAACATTTAAAGTGCTAAACCATTAATTTATAGTCAAGGGACCTGTTGAAGTTACTTTTGAGCAGAGTTTCTGTGAATAGGTGAAAAACGGTATTACCATATTTATGCCTACTTACACTACAGTGTAACGTGACAGTAGATCCCGTGAAGACTGAGCAGAGAGCTTTTGGAGTTTATTTAAAAGTATGGCTCATGTTTAATGGGATTTGCTCCTTAGTGTTTTAAAATTAATTTTAAATGTACACAGTTTAGCTTAAGAGACTTAGAATTGGTTTATAGCTTGATCTTCATGCAACATCTTCATCATATCTGTCTCCATGCTTGAAACATTGATCTTTTGCTCCTTTCAAGCTTTCTAGGGAAAGCCTGTTATCTGGCATTCCTACAATTTTGCTCATGATTAGTATTCATAGATCCTGTAATCCATTACAGGTAGTCCTTGCTTAAGAACCATTCATTTACAACAGTTCAAAGTTACGACAGCCTTGGAAAAAATGCTTTATGACCTGTACTCACACTTATGACCATCGGAAACCATACTACCCCCTGCAGTCATGTGATTGCGATTTGTGACTTCTACGATGGTCGTTAAGTGAATCACTGTGGTTATTAAGCAAATCACATGGTTAAGTGAATTCTGGCAAAAGATGTCCATTGGGGAAGCTGGATTTGCTTAATGACCATGTGATTTGCTTAACAATGGCAGTGATTTCTTTAACGACCATCGTAAAAATGACTGTAAGATCAGGTCTGGTCACACGGTGACTCACTTGACTGCCCTACTTAACGACCAATTTTCCAGTCCCTATTGTGGTCATTAAGTGAGAACTACCTGTATTTAATTACCTTGGGGAAAAAACCCTACTGAAGGACTTATTTCTGAGTATATGTATATTAGGTTGCAGTGGGCATTTATACTTACAGCTATATTACCTGCATAAGCTTCGCTAAACAGAATGTGCCTTATTTCTGAGAAAAAGGACAAGAATTATATAAACCACTTTTGAAGTGTTTTCATTCTGTAGAAATATATTCTTAAACACCCTAAATTATGTAAATAATTTCCAGATAAAGCAATTTTGTGTATTAACTGTCATGAATATGTTGTGTTGGAAGCAATAAATACAGGTAGCCCCCCTTTAATGATGCTAATTGGGACTGGAAACTCCATAGAAAAACGTGACCACGCTCCATAGTGACGGCAGTTCCAGCAATGTGGTTGCCATCATTAAATGAGGACTGTCCAAATCATTAAGTGAGGACCTCCCATGACCGTGACTTCTGACTTCCTGCTGGCTTCCCCACTGACTTTGCTTTTTGGAAGTCAGCAGCGAAAGTCACAAATTGCGATCACATGACTGTGGGGATGCTGTAATGGCCATTAAGTACAAGGTCTGGTTATAATGATCACTTGTTCAGTGCCGTAGTAAGTTCGAATGGCTGCTGAACGAGTGGTCGTTAAACAAGGACCACCTGTAAGAATTTGATTTGATTTAAAAATTGTGGATATATTAATTTTTTAAATCACCTTTTTATTTTGAAATAAAAGGCAGGGAAAGCATGCAAAGCATTGCTTCTGGAATTCTTTCTTATCCTTTAACCAGCAAAACCATAGAAGATGCTACTATAGGTAGCCCTCGCTTACCAACCACTTGTTCAGTGACTGTTCAAAGTTACGACAGCACTGAAAAACAAGACTTACAACTAGTCCTTGAAGTTGTGGCCGTTGCAGTGTCCCCATGGTTACATGATCGTGATTTAGGCACTTGGCAACTAGTGTGCATTTACGACAGCTACAGCGTCCCGCAGTCACATAATCACCATTTGCGACTTCACAGCTGGCTTCCAACAAGCAAAATCCATGGGGAAGCTGGCAGGAAGTCACAAGTTGCAGTCACGTGATGTCATGCTTAACGACTATGGGTGACTTGCTTCATGAACCAATGTTGTAAATCAGCACATTTATGTAACATTGTGCTTAACAACTGTGTCACTTAGTGATGGAGTTGCTGGTCTCTGTAAGTATTGACTATTTGTATGCTAGAAAGTAATATATTGCATCTGTTTGTATGTATGTTTTTTTGCTCTTATCTCATGTTGAGTCTGTGTTTTATGTGTATGCACAGGGAAGCACAGGGTTGGCTACATGCTCTGCTCTGGGTCATGAGACCAGGAGGGAAAAGGAAGGGGGCTTAGAGCAGAACAGTCAGCAATATTCTGAGCAGCTGCCAATTGTCTTTCCCATAGGGATACACTGGGGATTTTTCTGGATTTTTTTTTTTTGTATGGCCCATTTTCAGATTCATTTTTTCTTTCGTCAGCTTCTCCTCACATACCAAATTTACTCCCTTTCTTTTCAGTTTTTGGAGAGTTATCCTGCCTACAGTCAGACTCCCAAGCAACTTTCCACAATTTCTTTCCAACATTCCATTGAGTTGGAAACAAATATTTCTCAAATATGCAAAAAATGTTATATTTCATATGCAATTCTAAATTTGTTTGAGCATGTGGATCTCATTAGGTTTCAGAGAGAAGGGAGCTGGATAAAGTAATGGCTTAGCCAAGGTTAGTTCAGATTTGCATAATATAATTCTACTTATATACATACCCCTCATATTATCCACTTATAGGGATAAGCAATATTATGCAAACCACAGAAAGGAGTAAAACCAGACCATACATGAGGTAAGCAAAAGAAAAGGAAATATAACTAAACATGGTTTACTTAAACACTATTCACCATTTTCTGGTATTTTCGAGTCAGTATTGACTCCTGAAAACTGCTTGGACAAGTCCCTGCAGTCTTCTTGCCAAGATTTTTGGAAGTGGTTTGACATTGCCTCCTTCCTAGGGCTGAGACAGAGTGACTGGTCCAAGGTCACCCAACTGGCTTTGTGCTGGCTTCGTGCCTAATGTGGGACTACAACTCACAGCTCCTGGTTTCTAGCCTGATGCCTTAACCATTACGCCAAACTGGCTCTCATTCACTGTATTGCTCCATATTTTTTAATCCTTATAAAACTATCCTTGCTTCTACCATATTCATAAAACAGCATCATACTTGATCTTTTGTTGTTTAAACTTCTCATAACTCTCTGAGAATCTTATCAACTCCATCCAACTAAAACGTTCTTGGTCTTCTCCTTTTTTTCAACCTATTCACCATTTCTTCATATATTTGTTTTGCAATTTGGTCTTCATTCATTCTCTATGTATGATCAAACCATTTTAAGGTACTTTTTTGTGCTACTCACACATTTTTTAATTCATCGACTTCTATTCAGAACCCATTTATTTTCATCTTATCAGAAAGATGTTTTTATAAAGAGAGATTTTCAGTTCTTTTGACAACAATTCTTTGCCATATACCACCTATTACCTATTACCATTTCCCCATCTTAGTAAATATTCATATACCAATTCATCTACATGCTCTAGTTTTTTACTGTTCGTGTAAAACTTGCAGTTCACTCCATTCAGACACAACTACCTTGGTCTCTAATACAGTAATTTTCAGTCATATGTCACATTACATTCTAACATTTCCTGCAAATCATTCAGGTTTTCAGCCATCAACTGCATTCATGTCCCAAACCAACACACTCAAACACCACAAGCATTCCTGATACATTTATCCATGCATACATGAAATGATCAAGACAATATTACACATCCTTGTCTTATTTCCCCTCAATGCTGAACTAATATTAAGCATTCTATTTATTCACATGCATGCTTTACTTCTATCATATACAGATTACTGCATTCAGTAACCTTTATATTCATACAAAGCATTCCATAGTTTAAGCCTATTCCCTTTATCACACACTTTCCCTAACTGAAGAAACTTACAATAACTTGCTCACATACATTATCATAACATGATCATGCTGTTCTATGCATGTTAGGATCTCTAATCTAGAGACCACCTTCCAAGCCAATATACTGTTCCCTAACATGTATATACTGACACACTCAAGATACATATGCAAGTCTTATATTAAATCTTAAAATGAGACCAAAAGCTATGCTTTAGTCAAGAAATCTATCAGTTTCAGCAAAACCAAAGCCTGAAGGCTGATTTACAAGAAATTAAATGTTAACATGACAAGCTTTTTAGCTGTGCTGTTAGAAGTACTTACTAGAGTGTATCTGGAGGCCCAATAATAAGAACTTCCCATCGATAGAGATCATTGTCATCTATTAAACCTGCTGAAAAGCCTTCCACTGGGTTTTTGTTGAGCTCTGTTGAAACAAAAATTGTTATAAGTCGTTTTTATACATATTTGGTGCTTCATTCATGATATGCAGGCAAAAGAATTTTCAGAACATTTTGAAATACTCCTTTTTGCTGCCATATTCTCAAGATTTTGATTTACTGATTTTCTAAGAACCACAAACTCATAAAAGACTAACTAAATGTCCAAATTAAAAAAAGTAACTCAAGGAAATCCTAATCACCAACCTGACTTCTTCCCTGCAAGTTACTGTACTGGCCTCTGGTTTGCTGCCTTTTATAATGTACATTAATACTATTTAATAGGCCCAGTAGTACTAATCAAATTCCACCTGCCCTTTAGATTGTAAGCTGCTGTTAAAAAAAGTATAAATACTAAAATTTAATTTTAAAATGCACAGATACAGGTCGTTCAAATCACTCTAACATTAAGCTTTTTACTTAGAGCCAAGAAAAAGCTGTAAATAATTTGGGAATCTGAAGAACCACCTGTTCTCATAGGGCTCTGGCCAGTGAGAGAATCTTGAAACACCTTTCTCCATGTGCTTAGGCAAAAACTATTGAGTAATGACAACTTCTGTGGGGTACCCAGCAGTGATAAACTGCCCAATAGAATGTTCGCCTGGCAACCAAAAAAAAAAAAAAAAAAACCAGATGAAATCTTTTTCTCTTGCATTTTAAATAGTATTTCTTTATTTTATGTGGCTTTAGCTATTGTTTGATCAAAGTATTTTGCTGATCAGTTTTATTTACCTACACAACTTATATCCCACCCAAATTACATGAACTCAGCAGCTCACATGTATTATATCATAAAACAACCATTTAAACAGCGTAACAAAATACACAATTAATGATGACTCACAACACAAATACGTCAAGCCCCAAATGCTCAACAGAAAAGTAAGGTCACCTTTATAGGTCCAAAACCAGCACTCTGCTCTGTATTCAGAAGCACAGTGGCAATCAAAGAAGTTCCTGTAATAGAGGCATCACACTGAAGTGGTTCTAACCCATCAACATGCAAGTTGCTGCATTCTGTACTAATTGAAGTTCCCAGACAGTCTTCAAAGGCAACTCCAAGTATAGGACATTACAGTAAAGCAGTCTCAAGTTAATGAAGGTGTAAGTCACTGTCATTACTGCCTCCTGCTCCAAAAAAGGGCTGCACTTGGCTCACTAGTTGAAGCTGGTCAAAGACTTCCCTGGCTACAGACTTCATCTGATAATCAAGTAGGAGCTGAGAACCCAAAACAAAAGGAACTGTTCCTTTGAGGAAGTGAGACCTCACTCAGAGCGAGCATATGAAATACTAGAAAGTTAGATGGTTTCTGTACAAACAGTAATTCCATCTGTTTGGAATTAATTTTCAGCTTGTTTTGTCCCATCTTGTGGCCTCCAAATATTGAGAAAAGACATCTACTGAATTCTCCTACCTGGCTGAAGATATACAAGATCCACTAGAAAAAGATATTCACATTCTGTTTCATATAGAGCTGAGACTCTGGTCACAGCAAAATTCTCACAAAGGATCAATACTATCCCTCCTCCCTCATTCTGGAGTCTCTAGCTGTGCAACACCTGAATTATACAATTAGGTGAGAATGGGCAGGGGTCTCAACTGTCCATGCCAGGTCTGCCCATTCTTTCTCAAGCAAGTTGTGATGGAGCAAGTTCTTTTTACACTCTAGCAAACATTAAGGGCAATCTAAGGCCAAGGCATCCAGTAATACATCCAGAGCCTAGGAAAAGGGCAACTGAGCTAGAAGAGGGAACTACTTCCAACATGTATTTCTACCTTAACCCCCTTGATGGTTTTTGAAAGCAATAGCTGGGTATACATTTTCAAGTAAATAGGCAGTATCAAGCCTCTGTGGAGAAAAGAAAGGTGGATCCGGGGATCTACATATCAGTCCAGCAACAGTTCTATGCAAAATTCTGAAAGATCTTAAATTAGTCATTACTAAGTTGTGAGCCAGCATGCCCTGATTACTGGAAGCTAATATGAATCTGTCGAGAACAAATCATACCATACAAGTTTTATTACTTTTTTAATAGGATCATTTGTCTCTAGACTGTAACAATGCCAATAATGTATCTTGAGTTCAGTGAAGCATTTAACAAGGTTTCTCATGATATTCTTGTTGACAAAAGGTTAAAAACTGACTGGATGGACACTATTATTGTTAGATAAATCAACAAATGGTTAATCAGCTAGTGCTCGTCAATAATTCTGTGTCAGTGCTGATACAGAATTACCGGGATGATAATGTAGATATGTTGCTTATCATATTTGCAAATGACACAAAACCAGACAACAAAATTAATGCTGACAAGGATCTTGACTGGCTAGAAAACAGGATGTAAGATGGCATTCAACAAAATTTATTGTAAAAATTTGCATTTTGATACAATAAATCAACAAGGCAAATATCTGACCTTAGAGCAGTATTCATGAAAAGGTTTTAGTGAATAACCACCTGAAGTATGAATTAGGAATGTATGCAGATACTATAGAAGCTAAAAACGTTTTAGGCTCCATTAGGATGATTAGGGGGCTGAAAATAAATTTCTGTGAAAAATGGTTGAAAGAGGTAATATATGCAATCTAGGGACCAGAATCTGAAGAGTTTTGCTTGGTTTTTCCAATAGGCAAGATAAGAACAAATACAGTAGGTAGAAACAGTAAGAGAAATAAATAAATTTCCTAAAAGTAAGAAGTGTTCCACAGAAGAGATGGTAAGATGGTATGCAGCGGAGATCCTTTGCTAGAGGCTTGTTAGCCATCTGTTAGAGATGCTGGAGTTACTGCATTGAGCAGAGCTGAACAAGGCTTACTTGCAGGAACACTGTTGCCCTCATTTGGATTACTACTCTCTTCCACTGGACATACTAGCCAAAGCTGATGGCAGCTGGAGTCCAAAATACCTGAAGACACCATACTAATTACTCTTAGATCAGATTATTTCCAAATGTATGATGTGTCCCTTGGCTTTCCCACAGTCCCTTACACTTGTACTAATCTTAGTGATCAAATTCTGAATTCTGAGAATAGTATTACATCTGTTTACCTAGTTTTAATTTCAGGAAACACAAATATCTAATTCATTTTGGACTACACTGAGACAAGAATCTCCAAACTTTTAGATTCAATGAAATTTTGAAAAATTAAGCAACTTACAGAATGGTTGTCACTACACCCACCCTGGGTTTCCAAATAACCCCTTCATTCTATTGGGATTGTTTTTCCAGACATACTGTTCTATCGATACCCTTCCCTTTCCAAAATCTGGTAAGAACTTCTATATTTGATTCTCACCACTGTTTTAACTTGCAGCTGGCTCTAGTTCACAGGCCATGAGATTCTAGTTGAAAATAGACTCTGTAAACCTGAATTCTACCCATCACATCTTAGCTATTATACTACAATACACCAAGAGCTTCAAGGACCCTCACTATCCTTTTTAGTTGGCAAGCTTGTCTTTATTATTTCCTTATACCCTGGGTTTGCACATAAAGGCTACAATAAGAATGCACCGAAACTATCTTTTTTTTTCAAGATGGAAACCAATATTTTGAAAATTCAGTTGAAAGCCTCCCAGTTCCCAAAAAAGATTTAAATATTCACCTAGCAGCCTACACAACATGCACAGATAATATGAACATTTTTTCTTGACAGAGTTTCAATTGGATCATACAAACAGCCTGAACTAAGGTTTGCTGGATGGGAGAGTAACAGTTGCATTAAAGGACAAAAGCAAAATAAAGCACTGACGCAAATAGATGCCACAGCTATGTTCCAAGTTTGCAAAATTTAGCAGCTATGTAATTGAAGCTGTATATATGTCCAAGTTCTGCCTCTCCAGTAAGGTCAGCAATACCGAAAGCACATTTTAGTCTGCTTAAGGCATTTAAATCCTGAGAACTTGTTTTGCTTTAAAAAAAAAAAAAAAAAAGCTGGTAAGTTTAACCTACAGAGGGAGACAACACCCTTGAATCCAGCAACAACTTTAATCCTTGGTTCTATCCTTGGGAGTTTCCTACAGGGAAGATATAAACTTCAGAGCTTAGAATCTTTTGAAATTATGCTATTTTCATAAAGCATCCATCCTCCCTTAAGACGAGCTCTTGAACTAGGCAGAATATCTCTTCCAATTACCGAAACACCAATATGAAATACTGTATATCTCAAGACTTTGCTTCTGCATTGTCTCAAATTACTTTTAAAAAAATGGAAGCAGTATATAAATGTTTAAAATAAATAAATGACAATTGAAATGCAGAAGTGGTTATTCCAATAGCCCTTACATTTGCTATCAAGGTAGCACTGCTATTAATTAAGAACAAAATAAAACAGGTTTGGCTGTGCGTAGACCGGCTATGGGGTCACAGCAGGTAGGCAGTTATGACTTCTCTAATTAATCTGAGATAGGAAACAAAAAGTTTGCTTTATGGCACAAACAAATAAATAGTGTTTGGGTTACATCTGTAGTTCAGAGACGTACCAGGCAAGCAGTGTTGCCTTTGTTGATTTTATTTAATGGTGATCAAGCCTTCGATATAAATCCAAGTCAGTCGAAGCAGCATAGTCAACGTAAGTGACTAAGCAGGAAAAATCTTATGGCTACAGGAGCAGCAATGCATGGCATCTCAACTTTTTAACTTGCTTTGGCAGCTATAACCTTCCATTTCATACAAATGCTTCTGTCAGTATACTGTGAATGCTAAGGAAAGAAACACCATTCTAATTACTAACCACTACCTAATGCACATATTTCAACTCTGGACTAAATTTCTCATTGGCTAACTTCCTGCAAAGAACATTCCAAAAACTAGGATAAATAGATATTATTTGTTTAATTGAAGCCAAAAAGACAAAAACAACAACTTGTTGAAAGGAAAACAAATAATAATAAAATACTGGAAACTTGTCAAAAACAGAAATGTCTTCCAGTTACATTTCAAGGGCCACATTCTTGGGCTAATACATCAAGGACTACGTGCAGAT